GGTTATAATTTCATTGTATAGGTCAATGGTTAGACCACAGTTAGATAGTGTGTCCAGTCTTGGGAAAGACATTGAATTGTTGGAAATGGTTCAGAGAAGGGTTACTACAATGGTGCCTTGGATGGAAGGGTTGTCATATGACAAGAGGCTGAAATCTCTCAAATTATTTTCTCTTGAAAAAAAGAAGAGTTAGGGAGGATCTGATTGAGGTGTTTAAGATTGTAAAGGGAATTGATAGTGTTGATGTATCATCTTTTTTTATATTTAACAATGAGAATAGTAGGACTAAAACACAAATATAAATTTCGGCAAGGTAAGAGTCATCTTCAGCTAAGACAGTTTTATTTTTCTAACAGGGTGGTTGGCCTTTGGAATGGGTTGCCTTCAGATGTTGTAGAGGCAGTAAATGTAAGTGAGTTTAAGAAAAAGCTTGATAAGTATATGAATGAAAAGGGCTGGGTTTAAGACGTTTTTATTAGTATTATTATTATATTTAATCATTTTAATCAGTTTTGAGGATGGAACAGCCGAGATGGACCAATAGGCCCCTTGTTGTCCCAAAATATTAAGTTATGTTGTTATATCATCTATAATCTTGCATGTCTGAAGTGTAACCATGGCTATGTTGGCTCTACAATTCATTATTTAACTTTAATGATTAAAGAGCATGTATAAGTACCCCCATATAATCAGTCAGCTATCCTTCGACAGGATAGCTATCCTTCGACATAGTTCAGAAGATTATAACTTTCTTCATACTGTCCAAATATGTATCTTAAGAGCCCACAAAACTTGTTATATACTAATCAATAAACTTACTCTGAGCAGTTAATATGAGTATTGTCCACGTTTTGGCCAAAGAAGTGAAAACTACTTTCAAATGTTTCAACAGATACATGAAAACCCTGTGGAAGTTTCTCCCATGAGTCAAACTTCACTCCCCCACCAAGTGAGTACGTCCCTGTTGGGCAGGGCAGACACTCGAGATGAGTCCGGTTATAGTAAGTGCCTGCTTCACATGCTGTCACTGTAATGGAAGCAATAAAACATATGATTTTTATAAAGTATGACACCTGGGAACTTATAACAGTTAACTTAATATTACAAAGTATATTTTTTTGCTTAAGTATGAATGCCAACTAGAACAACTTAGTCCAAACATCACAGTACAACATGTATCTTAATCTAGTCAATTCTATTCTTGATATTCACTTCAGGTTCAATACAGTTTGTGTTTCACCGATGACCTATCATATTTACCAAACAGATCTTGAAAATCACTTTAGATTGTGAAGGTTTGTTTCTTTTTGAATTTCATGCAAAGCTACACAAGGTTTATCTGCACTAACTGTCCCTAATTTAGCAGTGATAGACTAGAGGAAGGCAGCTAGGCAACACCATCCACTGCCAACTCATTTACCAACAAACAGCAGGATTGACCATTACACTACAATGCCCCCACTAATGAAAGGGTGAGCATGTTTGGTGGAACGGAGATTTGAACCCACGACCCACAGATTTCGAGTCAAGTGCCCTAACCACCGGGCCATGCCAAAATAATTTTTGGTGGTTATTGAAGTTCATATAGGAAGTTGACACTGGATATGGTTCATATAATTAAACCTGAAAGTATAAATGTAAATACTTTCTTTTAGGTTCTCTACAATTTAGGACATGTGTATAACACTTGAAGTTAACATATATGTACATACACATGTGTATAACACTTGAAGTTAACATCTACAATATATGTACATACACATGTGTATAACACTTGAAGTTAACATCTACAATCTATATACATACACAAACATGTGTATAACACTTGAAGTTAACATCTACAATATATATACATACACATGTGTATAACACTTGAAGTTAACATCTACAATATATATACATACACATGTGTATAACACTTGAAGTTAACATCTACAATATATATACATACACATGTGTATACCACTTGAAGTTAACATCTAC